TTGGATGGGCACTTGCAATCTTTTAAGACCCCAAGCACTATGTGATGAAGTGGGAGGTAGAACAGAAGCACTACACACATTATTAGGACAATTAATAGGGATGGCCCATGAAATCATGACCATAAACCTCCAAACCAAGGAAATAAATACCATGTGGTGTTTGGCTGCACATAAGCAACCTCAGCAGCTACTCTTGTTGTTGTTGTTGTCATTGTTGTAAATATATCTATCACACAACTTTTACCAATTCAACTTTTTTACAGGTGTGCAACTTATTAACAACAGTTACAAAAATTGGCTTTGCAATGCTATCCTTAATCAATGTGACTTTTTTTTTATCACAGTAAACTAAAACTCAGTACTCCATAAGTAATAATTCCCCTTCTCTCACACCCCTCACACCCCTAGTAATGGCTAATAAACTTTAGTCTCTATGTTTTTGCCTTTTCTTGCCTTTTTTACGTAAGTGAGTTTATACAATATTTGTACTTTTTTTATTGACATACTTTACTCGGTATAAAGTCTTCAAGCACTATTTGTATTGTAGCAGGTATTAAGAGTTCATATCTCTTACTAGCTGAGTAGTAATCCATTGTATGTATGTTCCACATTTTGTTTATCTATTCATCCCTTGGAAGCTCTGATGGCATAGTGCCTAAGGCATTTGACTGCTAACCAGAGGGCTGGCAGTTCAAACCCACCAGTCACTCCTAGGGCAACCTACTTCCATAGTGATACAGCCTCAGAAACCCAACAGGGGTCGTTATGAGTTGGATCTGACTTGATGGCAGTGAGTTTTGGATTCATTCCTTGGTGGGCTTCTAAGTTGTTTCCACGTTTTGAAGTCATGTTAAGGAATATTTTGCAAGTAGGGCATTTAATGGTGGATTTATAGTGACTGAGAAACTATGAAAAATCCAGTGCCTGGAAGGAGATGTTTCCCATTACTAATCTGATCAGAGCTATTTCTATCTCAAGCCTAATGAATTACAATTGTTCTTTCTTGGTAATGAGTATACTTTGAGGGAATGATGCTATTAGCTCGTGATGGGAAGTAAGATCACAAAGCAGCAGTTCTCCAAGAGTGTAGTGACTAAGCTCCTGTCCCTCAAGAATTGAGATTTGTACACAAAGCCATTAACACACAGGGTTAAGTCTTATTGTTATGGAAACTTTTGACCAAAGTGCCTCTCGCCTACTCATATTTATTGTAACAGGAACTGAAGAAACAGCCTCTCAAGAGCATGTGAGGAGCACCCATAAACCGTAAGATGCCCTACTCTGCAATATGAGACTATAATAATCTGGGATCATGGGACTCCCTGCCCTGATGGGCTGAGAAAGACCAGATACAAACACTGTATCAGGGAAAATGGCATGAAGACACAAGTACACAGCAGAGCTGGGAGTCTATTGGGTAGGAACCGCAGGAAGAAAGATATGGGTTAATCAGGAGCTGCTGTCTGGGGAAGATTGCCCAGATCCTGACTGACACCTGACATCGATTAATCGATATTCTATCCTAGTGTTTAACAAGTGTTCCATTCAGAAAGTGTTCTGCAATACTTAACTCTGCTTCCTTCAGCTTCAATTTATGCTCATTTCTTTTGTTCTCTCTTCAAGACTGCCAGACAGCAGCCAGTAACACAGCACTTCATATTCATATATATGATTTTTTTTCCTGTCATGCTTCAATCTTCTCCAGACAAGGGAAAACAAACAAACAAAATTTAATTTAATCATTCCTCAAAAGGCCTATTTAATTTGACTGTTTAATAATTAATAAGCTTTGATACAGTTCTTTAAGTGTTTACTCTTTGGAAAGAAATTTAATCATTTCAACAGTAATGTGGAAAGAATTCTTTGCTTTGTATTTTGAAACACAGTTTTGGATCTGAATCCCAAAGAAAACACTGTTAAAATAAGAAGTTTGTAGAGTAAAATGAACATAAGTATTACCAAGATTATTTAAGCTAACAGTAGTTTTTGTCCATATTAACTATATGCATACATATCCATCTCTTTATTGCAGTGTAATTTTTGGAAAAATGGTGTCTGTGTTTTTATGTAACAGTATTGAAATGTAATCCAACAAGATTTTGGGTTCCTTCTTTTGTTCATTTCGGTGTGTTTCACAGAGACCTCTGTTTCTTTTCCTTGCAGGAAAAGCCACTTTTTTGTGCCCTTGTATTCCATGCAGAAATTGATCTGCAATACATGTGGGGTCTCCAAGGGTATATTTAAATTTAGTAATTTTATTGCTAACTGTGAAGTTAATCTGCACTGTATGGGTTCTTTTCCCCAGGAAACTGAAGTAGCAGTTCAAGCTAAACAGCCAGATGTGGAAAGGATTTTGTCTAAAGGGCAGCATTTGTATGAGGAAAAACCAGCCACTCAGCCAGTGAAGGTAATGAAGCAACTTCTAGCAATATCCATGACCTTATAATAGTTTATGCTTCCCCTCTTGTCCATTTGCCATTGTCGTGGTCTATTTGTAATCAATGAAATAACTTGTAAATTAGCATGTTTTGATTGAAAAGACAGCTCTGCCTCTGTGTGGCAGAGCTATCTTTTTTATTTTTTTTATCAAAATAGCCTATTTATATATCATGATCTTAAAGCTATTAATGAGCCATTGCATTAAAGGACTCATTTCTGTCCTGGTGTGCTGCCATCAATGCAAAAAGTAGTCCCACCTTCAAGGTAGATTAAATTCTTTGGGGCTATATTGCTTTCCTTGCCATCCTTGATGCTTTTCATATTGTTTGGCTTAATTCAAACCAAGCTACTGCATCATACTGTCTGTCTTCAAGAGCTGTAAAGAATCACAATATGGTCCATGACCTTTCTTGTCTCTGTTGCTCTTTCTTATGAAAGAGGAAAATCGGCATTTGGGCTTCAGCACTTTATTGGGTCAAGAATTTTTAGTGAAATGTCATGCAATTGCATCTCTCTCTTTGGTAAAAAGTCAGCCGGGGAGAAAGCTTTCTAGTTCTTTACCCTCTTCCATGTGCATTTTGAAGTCTGAGGCACATTTATTCACAGGTCATTACATGAGAACAGAAATGGAAAGCCAGGTTAGTTTTCAAGAAATGGCTAATCAATGGCTTCCATTTGCAAATGAGAGTCCAGTGATAAATAAATGTTAACTATAGGTTGCCTTATTTTCTATACCCAACCAAAATTATAATGGCTCCCATTATGATGAAGGTTCCCAAGAGCCTGTAATGGTGGCTGTTTATTGATCAGTCCTGGTGTCTCCAACTAATGTTGCAGGCTGAGATTTAGTAAGCTTCACCTTCATGTTTAAAGCTGCTCTGAAACAGTGCAGGTCAATAACCTCATTATACAGAACCACTTTGTCCTTGCAAACAACATTACCATGACTTACACTCTGTCTCTGAGGTCACTGCTTATTTTCCCTTTTGCTTGGCCTGAGCCTCATTTCTACAAAGTTGTTTGTTTTTCTTCCAGTTTACAAGTGACTTTTCCTTGGGTAAATTTAAAGTTTTAGCCTGAACATTATGCCTCAATACCAAATGCTGAAAGACACAGGTTTCTCTGTAAATATCGATATATGTTTATCCTGGAATACATTATTCCCACTCCTGAAATCCAGAGAAAACACTTTTATAAACTAACAATAATATGGTTGTTATTTAGAATTGGAAATCTTAGAGAAAGTCCTGAAAGTAGCTAATTCTGAGGTTTCCCTTGACACTCTAAAGAAGCCTGTCTCCAAGCAGATACTTCCCATTCTTGGTTGACAGGATGACCTTCATTGCGGGCAGCAATGAAACGGAGAAGTGGGCCAGAGCATAGATGTATTCTATCTACTCTTGGTTGATCCTTAAAAACCTTGAAATATATTCCATATGACAATGAGCCTGGCTTTGACATCACTTGTTACAGATTACCAATATGCATTTAATGTGGCTTTTACTCTTGCTTTTGTGAAAGACAGAGGCAAAATTCATGATTGAAATAGACAAGTAAAATTATGCTCTCATTGTGTATAAAACAATCCAAGCAGTTGAAGCTAATTCAGCACACAATCACCCACACCCTTAACTCTTGGGCCACTTTGGGATCAGAAATGGGACTTGCCATGCCTAAACATATCTGTTTTACAGATGCATTGGTGATATAAAAAGAGGAATTAGTTTTCAGAAATAAAATGGAGAACAAGAAGATATTAATGCTCTTTGTTGAGTATGTGCTAATGGTGGTGGAATATCTTGGAAAAGGATAGAAATAATGGTGGCACAACATGAAAAATGTCATCAATGTCCCTGAGCTGTAAATATGGAAGTTGTTATGTTGGTGACTGTCTTGTTGTATATGTTTTCACCATGGTAAAATTTAAAAAATAAAAATGATATAAACACCCTTTCTTTTTCACAACCCTTAAAACCATTTGCCCAGGTGGCTCAAACAGTTAATCACTTGACAAGTAGCCAAAAGGTTGACTATTTGAACCCATTCAGAGGCACCTCAGAAGAAAGGCTTGATGATCTGCTTCCAAAAGGACATAGCCTCAAAAACCCTGTGGAGCACAGTTTTACTCTAACACACATGGGGTTGTTATAAGTCAGAATTGACTGGAAAGAAACAAACAACAAAAAAAACCATTTTGTAGCAGTCAACACTACTCTTTCCTTCCTTCTTTTCTCCTCTTTCTTTCCTCTTTTCCTCTCAAATCAACTCATTTGGTAGAAGATGGAGTTAAGTGAAAAATCACTTCCATGCTAATGCATCTCCATTGGATTAAACAAAACAAAACAAAACAAAACCCAAACTCACTGCCATCTAGTTGATTTGAACTCATAGCAGTATCCATTGGGTTTCCAAGGCTGAAAATCTTTTTTTTTTTTTTTTTTTTTGCATTGTGCTTTGGGTACAATTTTGCAAAGCAGATTTGTGTTATACGCAACAATTCATTTCTATTTGATTTCACGACCCCGTTTACCATCCCCAACCATAAAAAAAATCTCTTCCCCTCTCCTTCCTGTGATTACCCCCTTTCTGTGCCCTTCTCATCTATACATTCCTTTCTGTGAAGTTTCCCTTTTATGTGAATGCTGCCCCTCTGGTGTCTCATGGCTGATTGATCTAAGAGATGTATCTCCCTAGGGTAGGTGAGTGCATCATCATCGGGTTGAGGCTATAAATCCTTACACAAGTTGATTGCCCCATCTGCCTTCCATGGAGCAGCTGGTGGGTTTAAACTGCTCACCTTCTGGTTAGCAGCTAAATGTCTTATTCACTATGCCACCAGAACTCCTTTCCATTGGGGTAGGAGAAAAAATAAACTTGTTAAGTCAATAGTGGGAAAAGGGGAAGATTGAGTTGGATTATTTTGAATAAGGAGTGGAGGGGTAACTCACATGCAACTTTTGATGATATGAACCAAGACTTTGAAGACAACTGAAGATTAGCTGGGGTTTATTATAGCCTTAACACTAAAAGAAAAAAAAAAAAAAAAACATGGCTGTCCAGTCCATTCCAACTCAGATTTGACTCTGTAGGACAGAGTTGAATTGCCCAATAAGTATGCCCAGGCTATAAATCTTTACAGAAGGAAACTGCCTCACCTTTCTCCTGTGAAGCATCTGGTGGGTTTGAACCACTGATCTTTCGATTAGCAGCAGAGTAGTTAACCATTGTGTACCAGGTCTCCCTAGCCTGAACACTAGAGGCTCAAAGACAACCTCACAGTTCAGAACATGGAACCCAGCAATACAAGGAAGAAGGCTTCAATACTGTTTAAATCTCTGCATGGATCAAAAATCTCTGTTTAAAGGTTAGGGGTGATTTTTTTTTAAAAGATCTATCCACCAGCCACTCCTTGTAAGGAAGGTTGGGCAATCTACTTCCATAGAGATACCACCTTGGAAACCCAAGGAGGGGTCACCATGAGTTGGATCCAACTCAACGCAGTGTTTTGTTTTCTTTTGTTTTAATTGCTCTTATAGTAAATGAACAAAGTTCAAGTTGGTTGGGAACTTTGAATATATTAAAACAATGAAACTGTGCTATTCCTAATGTCTCTTCTCCTGAACTCTTAACTATCTTATCTCTTAATAGAAGGGAAAAGGGTTTAAGTGACCTTCAGTATATTTTAGTGAGAGTTTGGCTTTGCTTCTTGGAGGAGGTACATGAGGAAACTATAACTATTATGAAGAAAGTGATATTCTTAAAAAAAAAAAAAGAAAATGAAGACTTCTGGTAAGATGGTGGAATAGGCAGACAAGTGACACAGACCCACTTCAACAAAGAAAAGAGAAACCAATTGACAGAGATACAGAAAATAATCCTGGAGACCTGAACTTTGAGAGGAACTATACAGAAGTGGATTAGGCACTAACTAGTGGAAAAACCTGAATGAAAATAGTGAGTACGAAGATGGTTGGAGCAGTGGACTGTCAGCTACTCTGAAAGGAGCAAAAGCCTGAAAATTTCCAAGTGGTGTTGGGACCTGAGAATTGACCTAATAGTCCGCTCTGGTCACCAAGGGCTGCAGGGATGACTGCACTGGTGGCCTATGACTAGGAAGAGAAACAGCAAGGAGGGAGACAACCTGAGCTGTGGACTTTCAGCTGTCTGGAGAGAGCAGCCATTTTGATTGTTTACACAAGGTAGCCATTTTGGATACTTAAAGTGACCAAGAGTGCAGCTATTTTGAATGTTTACAAGTGGTGGCCATTTTGCATATTTAGAGTGACCGAGAGCACAGCCATTTTGAATGTTTACAAGTGGTGGCCATTTTGGATATTAAAGTGACAGCATTTACATTCAGATTCCAGGGACCTAAGAATAGGTTCTACAGCAGGGACATATGGGAGGCAGACAATGGGAAAGGAGACAGGTGGTGAATGTATAAGTGCTGCCCACTAGTGAATAGAGGCACACAGCACAGTACTCTGCTTATGTAGAGAACATACAAACAAAACAAAGAAAACAAAAATCGTGGGCAAGTCACTCCAACATACAATCACCAATTAAATATAAACCCAAAAAGTCACAATGCTTCAGAGACAGCAGAGCATCACAGTCCACACAAAGAAGCAAGATAAACCAGGAGAGACCAGGATACAGACCCAAAACACATGCCTGAGGAAGATGCAGCATTGAA